TCCCATAAATGTCTTGCCTATTTTTCTCCTTAAAGTCTTTCTTCAGATTCTCCTCCCTTTCCCACCCTCTTCCCACACTTTGTCCAGCATCTATAATCATTTTCTATGTGTCTATATCCTCTAGTTTTTCAGTTTCAGCCATAGAGTACTGACAATCTGTATATATTAAGTGGAGACATACGATGTCTCTCCTTTGTAGCCTGGCTTGCTTCATTCAGCAGTAAATCTATATTCATCCACTTTCTATCAAAAGCCAGGTTATATAAACATATATCTGAACAGTATTCCAGGGTATGTGTGCCACACTTTTTCAATCCATTCTTCTGTTTGTGGTGAGTTGGGTTGGTTCCTTGTCTTAGCAATTGTGAATAATAACATAATAAACATAAGATTAGATTTATATTTGCTATAAATTTTCCTAAAGTAAGGATTTAATGTTTTTTTTTTTAATTTTATCAAAAATACTGTCTGCTCATCCTCTTAGACATAGCTGGTTGAAAATGCTATCCAGTTTCTCTCCTCTTTACTGGAAGAATTCCACACAAAACTATTGTGGTATGGTGGTGTGGTTCAATGAAAGGAACACAATCTGGTTTTATCAGCTGAATTACGTTCCCCTTAAATTTATGTGTTTTTTTTTAATTAAAAAATAAATTAAAAGTCTTGCTGTGCTGTCATCCTCCTGCCTCAGTCAGCCAGCTAAAACTACAGGCATATGCCAACACACTCCACTCTTTTCTTGGACAGGGTCTCTCCTTGCTACCCAGGTCAGGCTTGATCTCATGATCTTCCTGCCTCAACCTTTCAAGTCACCGAGATTACAGATGCAGGTCACTGTTCTCTCTCTTTAGTTTGGAATGATAATCAAGATACTTTGTCAAACTGATATTTCCACATAGTTTATCACTTTATTTTTCTTACTCTGATTCTAACTAAAAATCTATATTTCTACTTGGTATAGGCTTATCAAAAATGTATTTCTTAAAAAAATATATTTCTTTCTAACTTTCTCATTGGTGAGAATGGGATTAAAATAATTAACTACAGTACCTCATATATGTTCCCAGCTTGTGTAGCATAGTGTCTTATATGTACACACCATGACAACTGGGCCCTAAATTTCATATATTGAGGCCCTAATTCCCAGTCATTTGAAAATATGGCTGTATTTGCAGATAAGGCCTTTCAGTAGGGAAATAAGTTAAAATGAGACTTAGGATAGGTCAAAATCCAATCTGACTGAAAGTCTCATAAAAAGAGGAAATTTGAACATACAAGACAACAAGAGTGAATTCAGAGAAAAGACCAGTGAGGACAGAGGGGAGAAGGCTGCTATTTGAAAAAAAAGATTCTTCAGGGAAACAAACCCTGCTGAAACCTTTATTTTGGAGTTTAGAACCTCCAGAACTGTTGGAAAATATTTTTTGTTGTTGTTTAAGCCACACCGTGTATAGTATTTTGTTATGGCAACCCTAGAAAGTGAAAGCTTTTATAGATATAGATGATAGATAGATTATAGGTAAGACGAGGAAACTGGACACCAAAGCCTTCTACATAGTTTAAAAAAAGCTGACACCTGATTAGATTTGGGGAAAAAAACCCAAAAACCAAAAAAACAAACAAACAAAAAACCTTTGTTAGTTTGGACAATGCAAAGTCTGAAACCATGAAATTCTCCAGATTGAGTCACATCAATTTGTGTGTACTTAAAAATGGTAAGAGTTCCAGGTTAAAAGACAAAAATGTGTCCAGAGTATTAAGAGCCCCTAATCCGAAATCAAGAATGTCCTAAACTCCTCCATCACTTGCTTCATAGATAGTTGTCTAAAGTGCAGGATACATCTTATAACCACACTCAGGGAAGATAGGAGTAAATGGAAACCACCTTCATTTTATCATTAGCATACTAGTTAACAAAGATGAGAGTTACTGGGAAAAGTTCATCCCAAGCTCTCACCAAAGCACACAGAAAAAAAATTGGAACCCTTTAATACAATTTAAAAAAAATACTTCTATTTAAGTTTATTTATAATATATGATGTATAAAACATTAGAATAGTCACCTAATGTACCATTTAATGCTGAATGTATGCTAAAAAGTTTTCAGTTTATAAAATAAACATTGACAGTCTCAGCCTTAGTATTGCTATAGGCTATTGTTGCTGTGATTGTGTGATACCATATTAACATCATATGGTGGGATTTAGTGTTTTCTTTTTAAATTTTTTATATACATTCCATCACATTGTTTAGCTTACAATGTGAGCATTTCAATATGTGAACATTTCTCCCCAGTCCCGTTGATCAAAATATCTTCAATGGATAACACCACACCTCCCCATCCTGTCAATGCTCTACCTCTGTATCCCTCCTCCAAATGTCCTTCGTTAGGCCTCACTCCTTTCTAAATGTATCTTTCTTTGTTAATATTTTGCTCATCATTTTACAAATTACAGCTCCATAACAGTGAAGTGATTCATGTCTTGACCATAGTATTAAAATGAAACAGTGGTTTTCAGTTTTGCTCAGCAATTGATCTTTCAAATTTTCACATTTTCTAGGATTAATCATGTTTATTGGCCCAGTGTTACTATGAAAAATTTTCAATATTTCAATGTGGTTACTTTTGTCATTTATTAAGTTACTCCTTCCTTCCACTATCCCTCTTCATTACAGCGTAAAAATGTCTTATTGATTTTAATTGGAATTTTCAAATTTGTGAATGCTAAATTATGTCACTATACCAAAACATAAATTAACTCCATGCTCTTTGGCAATGACTGTCAACAGCAGCAAACATCTAGACGAAAGAGAGAACAACAGGGGTAATCATGGGAATGTTGCATGTTCTCAATAAGCGTATTAACATGATCAAGGAAATGAGTCTCAGACCCATTAAGCCAGTCTATTAAATTCAACTAAATTGTCTACCTTCTAAGCTTCCATGCATGCTAACTGAATGGCTTATAGCTAGAACAGAGCAATTAGCTACTATGCCTTCCCAATTTGATTAGAAAAACCTTGTCCATATAGGCAGAGCCAGATAGCCCTCAACTTTATGTACACTGCTGAAGAATCTGGTGTTTCTTTGTCATATGGTTGGAGATTGGTCCAGGTTCCCACTTTAGCATTTGAGATTAACTTTAGCCACAAATAAACTAGAAAGAGTACAGAAGAGGAAATAGGTTCTCAGACCTGTAATAAGAGTATATGGGTAAATATAAAGATTAAAGAATACTCTCAGAGATTCTAGTAAGCAATTTGTTTAAATAAATTTTAAATCTTGAGGGGAAATAGCACTTGGTCCTGAACATATCCTTGAAAAGTCTGCAACTCTGAAAACTGCTTTCGCAAATGTGTTTAAAACAAATGTATAAAAATGTTTGTCACTTTTTACCTAGAAATCTCACTTCAGGGAATTAACTGATCATAAGAAAATAATTCAAATGATTTTTTTTTACAATATAATATTTTAAAGTGACAAATTTGAAACAAAGTCAAATGTTTAATGAATTGCTGTACATTAACTCAGTATACTACTATGTAGCCATTATGCTTTGTAAATATGATACCTGAAGCAACATAGCAGGGTGTTTACAATTTAAAAATGAGTAAGAATAGAACAAAGCCTGGGAGGGAACTCAAAGAAGGACAAGTAATTACAATATTGAATGTTGGCAATATGAGCATGTCAATTTTTTTTCTGCCCTTTCTCTTAAAGCACTAAATGTACATATTCCAGTGGGTGTCCATAGGTCTCAATCCTAAACCATACACAAAATAGGGTTAGAGTTCAGGCAATATATGGGATGGTGCCAGTCAGGTGAAGATGCTAATGTCACAATCCCAGCATGGGAATAAAAACAGAACCACTGACTGCAGAATGAATGAAGCACATTACGCAAATATTAAATAGATGGAACTGCTCATACAACAGTTTTGGTTTCTAAAATGAGATTACCGGGAACCAGCAGTTGGCGTAATGGCTATGTCGCTGGACTCCCATGTAGTTGACGGCAGTTCGCGTCCCGGACCTGGTGGCTTAAAACTCATGCCGGGCACGTGTGCGTGCGTGCCCAAGATCCCAAGAGGAGAATGGATGAGAAGGGATTGTGACATGACCCCCCCCCTGGGGGGGTGATTTCTCGCTTTCTGTCTCTCTCTGTCTGGCGAGCGCACGCGCCCTATAGCAAAAACCTCTCCAAAATAAATAAATAAAATAAAATAAAATAAAATGAGATTATCTGACATTGCAGTGATTGGAATTCAACTCTTCACCCCTCTAATTAAAGTTGTATCCTTAAAATCATTTTGTAGAAATCATATTTTGGTTGTTTCCTGTATGTTTTTAAGCAGTAGTTTTGCTCCCACAGCAGACTAAGTGCCAGACAAAATAGCTATGCCACTGTAGACCATATTAATATAGTAATCTGCATTTTTATGTACTTTATTCTCTAGCATGAATGATCAAAGTAAAGTAAAATTTCAAATTGGAAGCCATGGTTTCATGTTTCTTCTAGCTCATTCTGTACAAAAGTTCACTATGTGAGAATAGATTTGTTTCTTAGAGAGTTGTATATGAGATCATTCTGTTTCTGATTATGCATTTTTTAATCACATCATGCTCTTAGAAATGAGTGTATTCTTTTTGAGTGAATAGTTGCTCTTCTTTAAAATATAGCATGTATATGTTAGAAATTTGGAATAGAAAGCAGTGGTAGTTCAAACTATAAATGCTTCCAAAAGCTTTTCATTGTGATTCCAGGTTTGTTGTGAATACTCATAGGGTAAGAGAGCCTATATTATTAGTGAGAATTGTTTATTCTTCTCCAGGGTGGCTTAAATTCCTGACTATTGAATGTTCTTGAAACTGTCATAAAAACAAGTTACCTAATAATAATTTTCTAAGACTTAGTATTAATGATTATAATTCTGAAAATATTCAAAAAGCCTTATGGAAAGTTGTCAAATTGCAATCTGTTCATATGAATATTTTTCAGGTGGAAGTGAATCATCCTGGGATAAGGATAAGATGCAGTCTCCTCTTGCTGCTCCTGGAACTCAACATGGAATTGCTCACGCAGCCCTGGCTGGCCAGCCAGGCCTTGGGGGTGCTCCTACCCTCAATCCACTGCAGCAGAACCACTTGCTAACTAATAGTATGTATAATGTCCTCCACAAACTGAGTATGTTGGGAAAATTATCATTCAAGTCTTACTAGATACCTTGAGTTGTCAGGGCTTAGTTGATTTCTCTTTAGTAAGGTTTAACAATTTGAAATCAGATGAAGAGGTAAAGAGCACCTTATTTTAAAGTATAGGATTCCTAGATTTGAGGTAACTTGAGAGACCACATAGGAAAGTAGAGGTATATGGAAAGTTATGTAGCAGAATAGTTAAAAATGTCGGCTGTAGTCACATAAACTTGAATTTGAATTCCCTATCTCTTGAGTTCCAAGTCACTGTTTAACTTTGGAGTAGTTACCTACTTTTCCAAGTCTCAGTTTCCACAACTACAAAGAGGAGGAGGAGGTAAAATTCACTCTCTTAACATTATTGTAAGGGCTTAAAATGATAAAGTGAAAATACTATTAACAATGAAATGTAATAGGAAGTACTGTATAAATTATAATTATTAGTAGTACTTAGTAAGAAACTATAGCTAATATATACATATTGAGCTTTACATGATTTTTTCAGGACTTCAAAGACTCAGAAGTCTTCCTGCAGCAAAACATGCCTTGCATATATTACTTGCTTGAAATCTTACAAACAGAAAACATGTGAGAAGAGTTCCCTTATTCCTTCTCTTAAGACTTTAATTCTTCCATTAAACCCTAATGTTGCAGGATTTATGAATTCTCCAAGTTTTTGTCTTGCAATCATGAAGAATTAGAAGTGTGTACAAAAAGAGATGTTAGCAAAAAAAAAAAAAAAGAGATGTTAGCAAAGCAGAATTTACTGAAAGAGGAAAACTCCCACAATAGGAGGGGTCCTAAAAGAGGGTTGCCGACTTATAGATCTTGTCTGGGAATTTTATCCTAGCTAGAAGGAAATTGTCCATGCATTTTCCTCATGGAGGTCACATAGTAGTCATCAGGTTCCTCCTTTAGAAAACTGGCAGAGAGCCTGCAACCATGCTGTGCAGTAGGAGGAGGTGAGGCTCAGGTGTGTGTGCTTAACTGCTCACTGATCTGGAATCTGGCAATGGTGTCTCCACCGGGATGAGCCAGCTGCTAACCTGGGTGAACAAAGGTGGCCCCCAGCATGCTCCAACCACAGAGCTGATGGTCCCCACTGGAATGGGCAATTAGGATAATCTAGGCATGTCTCAACCCCTTTCTGACCTTTTGGCTTGAGTGTCGCCAGTGCCGCACTGCACCCACCATGTCTGGGGTGAAAGTTCCTGCAGGGTCAGTGTGACCCAGGGAACTCCTACTTGGTCCATGCTCTCCGTGAGTTCCAAGGGATGGCTTTAATAATTATCTCACTATGTGGACCATTCGCAAAACCTGCAGACCTGTTACAATGGCCCACAGATTTCTAACCCTCACCACAGAACAGAAAGAAGAGCTCTTAGATTTTGCCCAGTACATTGTTGCCAATGAAAAGGAAATCCTGGCTACACAAGAATCTGTAGAAACTATGGGAAACTGCCTGCAGAGGATCAAGATGGAAAACACCGAAGACAACCACTAGCACTTCCAAGAAACCCTCCTCTCTGTGGACAATTCCATCAACTGGAGCATCGGGGATGTGATCTTCTTTCACAAGACCTACTACCAGAAAGACAGCCAGGGAAAACTGTTCAGAAGCATCCTCTAAGAAAAAGGGATTGTGGTGGGAATCAAGTTAGACTAAGCAGGTGCCCACATTCCAAGAACAAAGAAAGAAACCACATTTCAAAGGCTTGATGCTCTCTCTTAGTGCTGTGCTCAGTACAGGAAGGTGATGTTGACTTTGGGAAGTGGTGTGCTGTACGGGGATTACTGACCAGTGTCCATAAAGCCTTGCTATCCAGGAGAGTGCCAGAACTCTGGCCCACTATGCCAACATCTGTCAGCAGAATGGACTGGTACCTATTATTGAACCAGAGGTAATTCCTAATGGAGACCAGGAATTGGAGCACTACCAGTATGTTACTGAGAAGGTCCAGGCTACTGTGTGCAAGGCCTTCAATGACCATCATGTTTACCTGGAAGGCACACTGCTAAAGTACAACATGGTGACTGCTAGACATGCCTGCACCAAGAAGTACACTCCAAACAAGTGGCCTTGACCACTGTCCCAGCTCTTCACCATACCATTGCTGTAGCTGTACCTAGCATCTTCTTTTTGTATGGTGGCTTGAGAGAAGAAGATTGCTATTCTCAGTCTCAATGCTATCAACCTTTGCCCTCTACCAAAGCCCTGGAAACTTATTTTTTCTTATGGATAGGCCCTGAAGGTAAGTGCACTGACTGCCTAGAGTAGCAAAGTTGGAAACAAGAAGGCAACCCAGGAGGGTTTTATGGAGTGGTCTGTGACTACCTGCCAGGCAACCAAAGGATCTGAAAAACAGACAGGAGGGGAAGACATATTTGAAGGAACAATTACTGAAAATTTTCCAAAATTTATGAGACACTAAACCACAGATCCAAGAAGCACAGAAACCACTAAGTAGGATAAATGCAAAAGCATCTACAACTGTGCTTATCATATTCAAATGGCAAAAGCAAAAAAAAAAATCAATGACAAGTAGAAAATATTTCTTGTTTTATTTATTTTATTTAGGAGACAGAGCATGTGTACATGCATGAAAGAGAGGAGAGGGGCCAGCAGATGGCATATGGTTTCATCTCTGGACTCCCACATGGCCGACCGCAGTTTGAGTCCCAGACCTAGTGGCTTGAAAAGCAAACTGGGTGCTGTGTGTGCATGCCTAAGATCCAAGGAAGAGAAGGGATTGTGGCTTGAGCATCCCCCCTGAGGAGTGATTTTTCACTTTCTCTCTCACTGTCTCTGTCTTCTCTCTCTAGTGAACACATGTGCCCTATGGCAAAAGTCTTTTTAAAAATGGAGAGAAATGGGACCAGCAGTTAGTGTAATGGCTATGTTGCTGGACTCCCATGTAGTCGACCGCGGTTCATGTCCCAGACCCAGTGACTTAAAACTCATGCCAGGCGTGTGTGTGTGCGTGCCCAAGATCCCGAGAGGAGAATGGAGGAGAAGGGATTGTGGCGTGGCCATCCCCCCAGGGGGGGATTTCTCTCTGTCTGGTGAACGCACATGCCTTAGAGCAAAAACCTCTCCAAAAAATTAATAAATGGAGAGAGAGAGATATTAAGGCCCTCTGACAGGGTCTCATTATGGGGTGATCCTTTTGCCACTGCCCTCCAGCTTGTCAGGATTTTATGTACATGTGTACCCAGTGTGATGTAGTGTGATCATCCCCCCTGGGGGTGATTTCTTACTCTCCCTCTCTCTATTTCTGTCCCTCTCTAGCAAGCACATGTGCCCAATGGCAGAAACCTACATACATATGTGTGTGTGCACATATATATATTTTTCTTAATTAATAATATGAATATATATGTATATGTGTGTGCATACACATATATATTCATATTATTAATTAAGAAAAATATAATAGCAACAATAATGTATTGAATACCTTATGAGTAAGTTAAATAAATTACAACAATGTTATAGGAGATGAAAGGGAGGGATCGAGAATACTTTGTTATAAGGTACTTGCATTGTCCATGAAGAGGTATAGTAGTATTTTAGAGTAGATTTAAACTAATTGTAAATGTATATTGAAAATTTTAAATACACTACTAAAAATGTAAAATTGAATTTAATATGTATGCTTAGAGGAGAGAAAACAGGATAATGTAGACTGTTCAGTTAAAAACAGAGAAGGCACCAGAAAAATGGCAGGCAAGAAAAAATACATAGAAAGAAAACAGAACAAGGGCAACAAATAAAAAACAATACCGATTATGGGAGCTATTTATCCAACTATAACAACAATCATTTAAAATGTGAATGGTTTAATGCACCAATTAAAAGACAGAGAATGGTTCACATATTCTAATGACCTTAGATGTCAATGATTTTTGTGTTTACTTAAATGTCAAAGTATTTCCTATGAAATCACGTAGAGCAAAGCAAAGCAAGACAAAACAATAACAGAAAACATCAGAAGCTGCCAAAATGGATAACAAAACAAGGCTCAACTATATGTCATCTATGAGAAACTTGGGGACCAGCAGTTAGTGTAATGGCTATGTCGCTGGATTCCCACTAGTCGACCGTGGTTTGAGTCCTGGAACCCGTGGCTTAAACTCATACCAGGCGTGTGTGTGTGTGTGTGTGTGTGTGTGTGCCCAAGATCCCGAGAGGAGAATGGAGGAGAAGGGATTGCGGCATGACCATCCCCCCTCGGGGGTGATTTCTCGCTTTCTGTCTCTCTGTCTCTCTCTGTCTGTCTGTCTGGCGAGCGCACGCTCCCTATAGCAAAAACCTCTCCAAAAAAAAAAAAAGTAAAGAGAAACTCACTTTACATATAAAGACAAAGATTGGTCAAAAGTATAAGGACAGAAAAATATATTATGCTAATCTAATCAAAGCTAGAGTAGCAATATTAATTTTAAATAAAGCAAACTTCAAAGCAACCAAAAGATATCAGGAATAAAGAGGCACATTACATGATGACAACAGATCAGTTCTACAAGAAGACATAACAAATGTTAATATATTTGCACCTAACAGCAGAGTGCCAAAACATGTAGGCAAAAGTGAAAAAAACTGCAAGGAAAAATTGACGAATCCATTAATATGGTCATAGACTTCAATATCCATCTATTAGTAATTGACATATCTAGCAAGTAATAAATCAGGAAAGGTATAGTAGAATTGAATAGCATCATCAATCAACAGAATCTAATGGGCATTTTAGAATATTTCATCCAAAAATAGAAGAATACGCATTATTTTAAATTCATATATAATATTCACCAAGATAAATACATTATGGGCTATAAAATACACTTTAATACATTTAAAAGAATAGAAATTATGCAAAGTATGCTCTCACTCATAATGGAAATAAACTACAGATCAATAGCAGAAACAGAGCAGTAAAATAAAAGAAAAATACTTTGAGATCGAATAAC